GGGCTGGGGGAACTCCGGGCTGCCCAGCCCAGCCTTGCTATTGGTGAGTGACCTGCAGGTCCCCCTCGCTGGACATACCCCAGAGAGGGCCTGGGGGTATGAGAGGGCAGAGAGGGCTGCTTCCCAAGGTGTCTGTGGCCCCAGGCAGCTCCCTGCCCTGGTCCTGGAGACCTTGGTGGAGCCACCAGCCTCCATCATGGGATGTGGGTGGTGATGGACCCATGACCCCATTTCTCCTTTGGGCACCTCACCATCCTGTGCCTGGCTCCAGGAGGCAGGGACAAGAGCCTGCCAGGGGTGTCTGGACAATGAGGGGCAGGAGGAGCTAAGTGCAGGCAGAAGTGGGGCAGCTCTGCTCTGGAGGAGCGCCCAGAGCCGGGGAGTCCAGCCAGCCGGCGTCATCGGGAGGCCCTGGGGGACCAGTGGCTCTGCCCCCATGCCAGGCCAGCGGACATGTGCATGAGCAGCTCCAGCTGCCGTGACAAGCACCAGACTGGGCGGCTAAAATCACCCAAATACAACCGAGTGTGTCTCTCAGTCTGGAGCTGGAGAGAGAGCGAAGGTCTCAGGCTGGCTCGTCCTGAGGCCTCTCCTTGGCATGTGGACGACACCTCTTCCCTGTGTCTTGATGTTGTCTCCCTGTGTGTGTCTCTGAGTCCTAGCCTCCCATTTGTAAGGACACAGTCACACTGGATTAGGGCCCCCAGTGACTTCCTTTAACTGGATCACCCCCAGAAATACTATCTCCAAATAAGGTCACGCTCTGCGGTCCTGGAGTTGGGTTAGGACTCCAACAGAGGAATTTGTGGTGGGGGACACGGGGTCCCTCACATTTTCTCCCTCTGACCACCGGCGCGGGCCAGAAGAGTGCCCACCAAGCGGGTTTCGAGAGCTGGATGTGGGTGAGGCTGGGCCACTCCAGCATGGAGCATAGGGACTCCCCGGGCTTCCCAGCCCCGAGAGTCCTGCTATCAGCAGCTCCTGCCTGGGTCCCGGAGCCCCTTCCACTCATAAAAATGGCCTGAGCACCAGGAAAGCGAGTGGCGCCCCACTCTTAGCGCCTCACATGGCCCCCCACCCATCCCTCCCATGCAGGCATATTTAACGGGAAAATTCATCTCACCCCTGTAAGGAAGTTCCTTGCAGGCTCTACTCAGAAGATCACAGATGTGGTCAGTACATTTTCTTCGGGGAGCTGGAAAGGTCAGCCCCATCAGTGGAGGCCATGTGTCCAGGGTGGCAGCTTCCTGCTGGCCCAGCTCGGGGAGGGTGGGCTCCCTCAGTCTGCAGGGCAGCGGGCGCATGGCGAGTGAGGAGCGCCTGGTGCTGAAGTGAGCCCGAGGCCAAGGTGGGCCCAGTAGAGCTCAGTCTCTCCTGCAGGCGGCTGCCTCCCTGCAGGGAGGCTGCAGAGTGAGCAGCTGGCACAGAGGGGGAAGGCAGGGGCTGCTCAGGGCTGGGCTGCAGAGCCCCTCATCAAAGGCCTGCCTCTGCCTCTACCATATGCCCCAGCCCGAGCATCTGTGCCCCTGAGCCCTGCCTGTCATCACCTGCGCCTGCCTCTTCCCTTGTAGTTGGTGGCAAGAGGCCCAGCGATGGCTCGGTAGCAGGGACAGTGGGGGCAGAGGGGAGGCTTTCTGGCTGGAGCTGCGGAGGGTCCCGAGAGGCCCATCACATCCTCTCCAGGTGGTCCCCTGCACTCCTCTTGGGCACATTTTCCGCTCTGGCCCTGGTCCCTTCTGCTGTTCCTGTGGTTCCTGGCTTCCTTGCCATCCTCCCCTCCTCTGCTGGACCTGGTGGGTGGGGAGGGAGGGTAGACATAAAGGAACAGGGAGGGACAGGCCTGACCTAGTGTTGCACAGGCAGGTCCTCAGCTGGCCAACCCGGGCTGGGCGTGGGCACAACGTGCTGCTGACAGGGAACGTGGGGTCAGGCAGGGCCCCGTGGCTGCCTGTGTCCGGAGGTGGGTGTGCAGATGGAGGCCCGGGCAGCAGTTCCAGTAATGACCACTGAGCCCTCTCATGCACCAATTCCTCCAGGGCTTGCCACAGCCCAGCAGACAAGGCGTGGAGCCCCAAGTTGGAGGCCAACAGCATGCTCAAGGTCACAGTCAGGCAGAGATATGAGGACAGGCCTGGGAGCCAGACCTGCCTGACCCCAGCTGCTGTCCTCCTTACATCCCCCTGCCCCCTTGGGCTCCATGTCAGTTTAGGGAACCCGTGTGTGCAGGGAGGGCTGCGTACCCCTCAGAGCAGATGCATCTCTAAATGCATCGGCCCTTCTGTGAGCAGAGTGTGGAGTAACTAACAGCAGGCCCTGTCCCCGGGTGCCTGGTTCCAGTCCTGGCTCCCCAGATCTCAGGCTGGTGGCTTTGGGCAGCATCACCTCTCAGCCATCTTCTCATGTACATTCCAGGGGGCTGGCGGGACCCACCTCTCGTGCCATGGTCAGGGAAGCATGATGCTCAGCTGACTAGGACAGTGCTTCTGGGGGTGCCACCATGGACCACAGAGACACTGGTGGCCTGTGGCCCCCAGCCTGCTGACCCACAGGCACTGTCCTGGATGCTGAAGTGGCCCTCAGCCCAAAGCACCTTGTCCTGGGCGCTGATGTACAGCCCTCTCCCTGCCCCACTTCTGTGGGTTTCTGACCACCTGCCCCACCCTCGCTGTGAGCTGAAGGCTGTGTCTGATTCACTCTGGGCCTCTGGCCCCTTCCTCCCTACCCCTGGTATGTCTGGGCAGCAGCATGACTTTGTGACAACAGCCAGGGGGGCATAGACCTGAGCCTCAGATCTGCCACACACTGTGAAGCCCAGCAGGTCACCTGACCTGGCCTAGAGCACAGGGTGGCAATACAGTTCTTTTCCAGCCTTGGCTGGGAAATGGGGCTGATTTTCAGGTTAGTATGTGGGTCCCTCCCCAGGGACAATGACACTGAGGCAGTTTAAGGGAGCTGAGCTGGGGGCCAGTCATCTGTCTAATACTGAGCAGAACCCAGATACCACACCAGAGCAGGACCTGGATCCTCATCCCAAAACTCATTGTGGACACCAAGCCCCCAAAACCTAAGTCCAGTTGCACCTACTTCAGGCACTCTCCCCATCAGTCTCTTCCCTTCCCCACAGCTGAGTTGCTGTGCTCTTCTCCCAACCCCCACTCTGTAGCCATCTTGAGAAAGTGGATGGACAGAAGGCTGGACGCATGGGTGGGGAAGTGTGTACATGTGGAGGTGGGTAGATGGATGGATGGTTAAATAAAGGGGTGGATAGGTGGTTGGATGAATGGAGGGGTGGAAAGATGGATGGATGGATGGATGGATGGATGGGTGAGTGGATGAGTAGGAGGATGGGTGGATGGATAGATGGATGGATGGATGGGTGGATAGGTGTAAGGATAGGTGGGTGGATTGATGGTTGGAAGAATGGAAGGGTGGATAGGTAGGTGAATGAATGGAGGGGTAGAGAGATGGGTGGAAGTTTGGATGTGGGTGAGTGGGTGAGTGGATGGGTGGATGAATGGAGGGGTGAAAGGGTGGATGAATTGATGGATGGATGGGTAGGTGGATGGCTGGGTGGGTGGATGGATGGGTAGGTGAGTAGATGTGTGGGTAGATGGAGGGATGAATGGATGGATGAATGGGTGGGTGGGCTGGTGGATGGATGGGTGGATGAGTGGGTGGATGGGTGGATGGATGAGTCAGTGGGTGGGCTGATGGATGGGTAGATAGATGAGTCAGGGGGTTGGTGGATGGATAAATGGATGGATGGATGGATCAATGAGTGGGTAGATGGGTGGATGGATGGATGGATGGATAGATTAACATCCTAACATTCACCTAAAGACCCAGATGGGTAACCTGGGGGACTCTTTCTAAATGTCTCTGCCTCACTTTCCTTGCATATCCAGTCACTCCCAGGGTCTGAGGATTCCACCTTCTGGTCTTGACTCTGTCCCCTCTGGCCCTCCCTTCTCTGCCCTGCCCTGGGCCCTGCCCTCCTGTATGCTCTGTCAGCCTTCCCCACCTGGTCTCTCTGTCTCTGACACTCTCTCCTGCCCATCCTCCCATCTGGCTTCCCAAGTGGCCTCCATGCTGTTGAACATGTGGCTCCCCTGCTCTGCACTCCCCACTGTCTTTTTCGCTGTCTCAGGGATGGTGGCCAGACCCGCCGTGATCCGTAGGCTGGTCCCATCAGACCCTGCCTCCCTTCCCTGCCCTGCCCCTGCTCCCTGCTACGGATACTCGGTGACTTGCCATATCATTTAAGCTCCCATTTTGCTCTGGGTTCTCCCTTGGTCCCTGCCTCTCCCCTCCTGGCCTGCCCAGGGAGTTCCCATTCCCCTTTCAGAACCAGATGAAGCACCCTCTGCATGAAGCCTCCCTGACTTCTCCCTAGTGACAGTCCCTAGCACAGATCAGTCTTTCTCCTCTGAGCCGGGCTCAGACCTTGTTAAATTAATAATAATCACAAAGATATACAAGAATAATAAGACTATCTAGTGAGGAATATGTGTCTGGTATTCGTCAGGCCCCAGGCTATGTACTTTCCACACATCATCTTAATTTTAATGCTTTCTTATTGCACTAAACAAGATGAAAAAAAATTAAGCCTTTCAAATGTCCCTACGGAGTCCATGGCATCATCCTATGTTTACAAAAGAATTCAAGGTGCCAAGATGGATGTGGCTGAGACCCCAAGCTGGTTGGGGGCAAGCTGGAAATCGTACCCAGGCCTGGCTGACTCTGGAGCTTGGGCAGTTGCCCTGGGTCTCCTGCCTCCCTCCCTTTGGACCTGGCTCCAGGGCTGGCCCAGAACAATTCCTGAATGAGCACTCAGGTCAGCTCAGGGCAGGGCCCTTGCAGGAGGCAGATTCTGCCTAGACCTTGTGCCGGGGTTGGCCCAGTCCCCTGTCTGCCACAGCTTAAAGTGGGCACAAGCCAAATGCTCCTGAGGATGCGAGGCGGGAGGGCCAGGATATGGTGGCAGCCACTCTCTCGCCCAGCTCCAGAGGTGCAAGATCAAGTGCTGCTTCCTGTCAGGTGGAGTCACTGCCCTGCTGGTCGTCATCCTCATCATCATTGCCACATCTGTCTGAAAGTGATGCCACCTGTGGTGAGTGCCCCACCTGCCCCCACACCGTACACCCTCTGCTCATCCACTCATCTGTCCCTCCACCCATTCATCCATCTGCCCATTCATCTCTCCGTCCATCCATCCACCATTTATCCATCTATCCACCCATCCATCCATTTATCCATCTACCATCCATCTATCCATCTATCCATTCATTTGCCATCCACCATGAATCCATCGTCCACCACCCATTCATTCACCATCCACCATCCACCTATCCACCGTCTGTCTAACCATCCACCATCCGTCCATCCTTCCTTCCTTCATCCATCCTCCATGTGTTTGTTGAGCACCTTCTCTGCATCAGGCATGGGCTGGGCCCTGGAGACCCAGTGGTGAACATGGCACAGAGACGCCCTGTGCTCCTGGAACTCAGAACTATGGGAGTAGGCCAGCATGAAGCCTCCGTTTTTCCATGCACCGACCTCTAGAAGGTCATGACTGAATTGCACTGGGGCCAGCTGACAGTGAGCAGAGCATGCTGGGTTGTGTGGTGGGCATGAACTGGGAGCCCAGGGGAATGTGGCACCAGGGGATGGAGTTAGTCCAGGAAGCTCCACTGCTCCTTAGGCAGAGAGGAGTGGGTATCCCCAGGGCACAGGGGGGCTCTGGGCTGGACCTGGAGAGGGCCGGGAGACTGGGACAGAGCATAGGGAGGCCTCGGGTGTCAATGTGGAGCCCCTGAAGTGTGTTAAGCAGGTGTATTAATTACTAATGCTGCATAACGAATTAGCTTAAAGCTTAGTGTCTAAAACCAAAAATAAACATTTGTTATCTCACAGCATCTGTGGGTCAGGAATTCGGAAGTGGCTCAGCTGGGTGGCTCTGGCTCCGAATCTTTTGTGAGGTTGCAGTTAGGTGTTGGCTCGGGCTGTGTCATCTGAAGGCTCAGCTGGGGCTGGAATGTCCGTTCCAAGCTGGCTCCAAACGTGGCTGGTGCTGGCTGCTGGTGGGACACCTGGGTCTCCTGCACGGAAACTCTGTGCAGGCCACACCCGTCAGCTCCGCGATGCCCTGCTGCTCACTCGGGGCTGCCTGCTCCAGTCCTACCAAGCACATGGGAGAGGGGAAGTGCAAACACTGACCCCAGAATGTGGGGAGGGGAAACCCACATTTGTTGTCGGTCTACTGTGTGCCTGGCGTTTCACGTCCGCTGTCCAAGCTAATCCAGGGCCAGGGCTCAGTGTGTGCCCAAGGTCTACACTGTGTCCGTGGTCAGGTATGGGGCTAGCGTGGCTGTGGCAGACAGTAGGACAAAACCAGCCTGTCTGTCCTGGATTGAGCCCAGCTTGTGGCCTCAGCCCCGCTCTCTCACTCAGAGCTCCCTTTTCCCCACCCGTCTCCTCGTCCAGGAAAGCGCAGCTGTTTTCAGAAACATCTCCAGGCTCTGTAGATGAAGGGTCTGGGCCAGGCTCAGTGTGACGGGGACCAAGTCCCTGCACATCAGAAGGAAGAGGAAGCTTGGGTGGCTGTGAGTGTCCCAGGTCTGTGCTGATGTGTCTGAGAACAGCACTGACCAGTCAGCCCTGCCTGGAGGTCCTCTGGGATGGAGGGGAGTGGCAGCCAGGCGCCTGGAGAGGCCTGTGTCTCCTGGTGCCCTGCGTGGACTGGCCACCGGATTGTCCAAGTCTCTCAGAGAACGAGGAGGACAATGAAAGGTAATGTAGAGGGACATCAGCTGGCTCTGCCGCTCCGGGTGACAAGATCCGCCCTCATTCAGAGCATAGCCGGGCAGCCTCTAGGTCGGGGGAGCTGGCACTTGAAGGGCCTGTCCCTCCCAACTTCAGGCACCCATCACACGCACTCACAGTCACAGGGAACGAGCTGGTGCAAACTTGTGGAAGGGAGGTGAGTCCTTGGGGCCTGGGTCTCAGGTGCCTCCTCTCTAGAAGGCTCCCTCTCCATGGGGTCCCCCCGCAGGCCTCCCAGGATGCCAGCCCTGTGCCCTCAGCAGCACCTTCCACGCTGGCCTTTGGTTGCTACTGACCTGCCTGCGTGGCCCTGTGGGGTCCCCAGTGGCCCAGCCCAGGCCTGGCTCAGGAAAACGGATGGTGAATGAATGGAGGAGTGAATGAATGCGTGAGTGGGGGCCCAGGCAGTGAATCCCTGTTTGAGCCCCTGGCTAGTCCTTAGCAAACAGAAAATTATGGTATCTGGGCAATGGTCAATGAAGCAACTTTCACCAAAAATGTAAGGGCTAAATTGAGGTGCACAGCAAAGCACGTCTGAGTATTTTCTGAAAGTGGCGAAATATTGACCCCAAAGCCATTGATTTCCACTTGGGAGGTGCATGCTGGGCTCTTTACCACCACACTCCCCAGTTTGGCCTCATGCCTCATGCCTCACGTGTGTGCATGTGTGTGTGCGCATGTGTGTGTGCATGCATGCATGTGTGCATGTGTGCATGTGTGCATGTATATGCCTGTGTGCGCACACATGCATGTGCATGTGTGCATATGTGTGTGCATGTGTGTGCATATGTGCACATGTGCACATGTGTGTGCCTGTGTGTGCGTGAGTGTGGCCGATGCCTGAGGTCGGGAGGGACACACTCTTCTTCAAGCGCTGCTCCCATCCCAGAGGCTGTGAGGCTGTGCTCTGAATGAGGGGTGAAGCCAGCATGGTCCCTCTGCTTACTGGGCACTCAGGAGGTGCTCTAGCAGGCCCCTTGCTGCAGCCCCACGAAGGTGCCATGACGTCCCCACTTCTCAGCTAAGAATGCTGAGGTGCAGCAAGATGAGAGGATTTTCTCAGGCTGGACAGTGTGGACAGAGGCAGAACCATCCTTTGGCCGCTCTGTCTGGGACTGAGGCAAGGGAGCTGGGAGTTCATATACCAAAGACTTATGGGACCTGATGTTGCACCATAGCAATAGCTACCATTATTGAGCGCTTGCTGTATGCCAGTGGGGAGTGAGCACTCTACACAGACTCTCTCCGTTAATCCCTCATTTCTGCCATGCACGTGCACACACAGACACACCTGCGCACACGCATGCACACCCATGCAGGGAAACTGCCGCCCAGGAGGGTAGGTGTCTGGCTCGAGGCTGCACGGCTGGTAGGTCTCTGACTTGGGTCTGTGTGACCCGAGGCCTGGTGGGCCACACTGCCTGCGGGCTGCAGGTGCTGGGCTGGGGTCTGCTCTTGTTCCAGCAGGCCCAGGACGGTCCAGCATATGCTGTCTTTGGCACGTTGTCATTACTAGGTCTTCTCTCACAGGTTGGGGGACAACCTAGGTGGCCTCTCTGTGCTGAGCCAATCAGAAGCCCCAGTGGGTCTGTTCTCTGCTCACCTGCATGCCAAGTCTGGGTCCAGAGACTCTGCGCAACGCTGCCCCTCCCCGCCCTAGCCTGGAAGCCTGCCACCGGGCCTGACCTGGCCCTCGGGGCGCTGGGAGGCTCCCTGTGGTCTCCTTTGGCTCTGTAGAGTTTTATACATCAACATCTCTTCCCTGGGGACAGGTGCTGGCCCCGGTGGTCCCTGAGACCCAGGCTGGGTCTCCCAGAGCTCCCACCCATGGGGATGGAGGCAGAGTTGAGCAGTAGAGGGTGCCCTGGAGCAGAGACTTCCTCGCGGACTCTGCACCAGTCACAGGGCCCTGGCACGGGGCTTCCCCTCTCTGTGCCTCAGTTTCCTCATCTGTAAAATGGGGACAAGCACGCTAACTTGCAGGGTCACTGACCATTGTGATGTGGCCTGCAGACTCCCAGCATCTGGCCCAGGGGAGGTCCTCACTCAGTCACAGCAGGTAGTTCGCTGTCCCCATCGCCACCGTCATTATGGGTTGTGTGACTGTTGTCCCTGCACATATTCTGCTTTGTGGACGCGAGACCGAGGTGGGACACCGTGGACTGTTTCTTCCCAATGTTCCCACGTGGCCCTCCGGCCAGCAAGGTCACACCTTGTCCTCCCTGTCACCCGGGGTGGGACACAGGCTCACGACTCAGAGCAGCCCAGACTATAGTGACATCTGACTGGTTTAGTAAACACTCAGCTCTTTGCAGGCGGCCGACAGGCAGAAATCATCAGCCCCACACCGCCTGAGCAGCTCGTGGTCTTGGGGAGAGGAAGCCCTTGGAGATGCCATGAAAGGGGCAGAACGGGAGGCCAGAGGGGAGGCAGGAGGGCTTCCTGGAGGAGGTGGCTTTGGGGAACTGAGTGTTCAGGGGTGAGTTTGGGCTCTTTTGGAACACCAGGCCAAGGACAAGGACATGGCCTGGGCAAAGGCAGAAAGCCACCATGGGATGGAGTGTTGTGTGGCCATGGTCAGGAGAGAGGGCTGTGACCAGACTCATCTTCCCCCTCCTGTCGGATGTGGTTGCCCAGCAGGTGGGGCCACCCCTCGCAACCCCCATGGCTGGGCAGATGGCTGTGGGAGAGACTGGCCCAACTGGGCTGGTGGGAACGGCACCCTGCCAGGAAAAGGTGGAAGAAAAATAAAAACATAAAAACGCTGTGCCCAGAAACACGGCAGCATGCTGTGCGCCTGGCGTCGCGGGAGGAGCGGATGTGCGCGGTGGCGTCTGCCAGGAGAGCAGGCGTGCTGGGTCTGAGGAGCCCTCAGCCTGGAGCAACAGTGGGCGCCGAGGCCTCCGCAGGGCTCCTGCTACAGGCCCGAGCTGGTGAGGGCGGCTGCGGAGCCACGAGCGGGGCTGGATCCCCTCCTCGGTGGGCCGGGGTGCTAAGACCTTGTTGGGGGTCTATAAGGCTTAGGCGAGGTCATGGCGCCCTTGGCACCCACAGTGGGTGCACAATAAATGTGTTTCCTCCCCCCACCTCCCACTTGACCTGACCCATCTCCTGGGAACTGTCCCCTAGTCTGACCACTGACCCGCCCCCACCGCACACTGCTGACTCCCAAAGCCAGGCCAGGACGACTTTGTCCCTGTCCTGGGGAGGGGCAGGACAGGGAGGGCCTGTGGGCTCACAGCACCTCTGTGCCCTCTGGTTCCACCCTCAG